ACACGTTTAGGTAGCAGTGTCAGTGTCAGACGTCACCTTTTTGATTTTTCTGGATTTTTCTATCTTCAACATTTAAATTATTATGATTCGCGTTTCGGAGTTCTTACAACCCTTTTCCGTATATTTAATTATTATAAAATTACTTCGTTTTTGTGCAATAATTGACAGAGGTTCAAAAAAGACAAAGTAAAAAAGGCAAGTTCAAAACTAAATACCCACTGATAAGTTGTAGAGTAATCAGGATCTGTGCTCTAGCGGCTCCAGGCGACAGCAATATATACTTATACCCGTATTTATAAAGAAGTAATTACTTGATGCCAAGTAATTTCTTAGTTAAGTCATTACTTAAAGTTAGTATTCTTAATTACAAAATCTCATTCTATAGTTGAGTAACACACGTTACTTACTTGAGCAAATGCCCAAGTAATACTCTACGCTTGGTGGTTGTTTTTGTGTTCATAAACATAGTTCTTCATTATTATGAACGGTGTTTTGGCTTACTGTCAAAGGTGTTGAAATAACCAACAATTCGAAGGCATAAAACTCCGTATTGTTAAAACGACGATTAACACGAATTTTATGGCGCCGAAAATAAATATTCGTAAAAAATGTCGAAGTTAGATAACGTCTAAACTTTTAAATTAAGAAGGTTTATTTAGCAGAAATAACATAATCCCGGAAAAAGAGATACATATATTCAGGGAGATGTGATATGATGTGAAAAGGTTGTCATCCGGGCTTCTTAGCCCAGCTAAGATCTATTTGCCTATCGTGGTAACTTCGGTACCCCGTGATCGCTTACTAGTCGATATTTTAAAATTCAACTCTTAAGAAATAAACGTAAAAGTAAAAAAAAAAAATAATTCTTGTTTTCTGTTAAAAATAATAATTATTCGTTAAAATTAAATGTGTAAAAGTAAATAGTGTAAAACTTACAACATAATTATAATGTTTGATTATTATACTTATTTGTTTAATTTCTGTTCTAATGATTATTCAATATATACACATATATATATATATATATATATATATATATATATATATATATATATATATATATATATTCTATCTCCTCTAAAATAAAATTATCATCTATATTATCTACAACAGCAAAACCGTTCCAATACTATTCAGTTTGCATTTTTTATCCAAAATAACCTCAAAGTAGTGCTTAAGTAAAGGAAATGGTGACTATTACTTGGCCGAGTATTCTAACTTTTGACAGCGTTAACTTGGAGCAATTACTTAACTATTGAATAAAAATCGTTACTTAAGTAATTACTTTTACTCAAGTAATTACTTTTATTTGTTTGTAAATACGGGTGTTATACTAAGGCTGAAGTAAGCTAATATGATAAGGGGTCAGCCATAGACCTCGAAGAACCGCCAGATCGATGGTTAGGAAAAGTTCCAAAGTGCCAGACTCGTTTCGAAAGCAACTAATTGCCTATATAGATTAAAATTTTTAATATTGATTTTTTATTTAATTACCTATTAATTATTCATTTAAGTTGTTTGACATTTTACAATTTTCTAATTTTCTATTAATTATTTATTCTATTTACATACTACCTACTTACATTTGTAATTTGTAAATTTTGTATACGTTCATAATTTATTATTTTATTTTGCATGACATCTTATATAAGAAATATAAAAGACACGTGATGAAAGCTAACTAAGGACCAACGCGAACTAACGTTTTTAGATGAGCCAGGAGATATAGAAGAACCATCTTAGCTCAGGACATAAGTGCTCTTTATAAATTTCACAGTACGCGAGGACACCGAGTTCGATACCCACCGAGACTTATAATCACGATAATTTTATAACACTGATATAACATAATAGTACTGATTTGCAGCCATGGGTCATATAGAGGCTGTAACTTTTTAGAAAGTTTGAAGTCATTTTCTAAAATGCTAGATTAAGCATTCAATGCCATCATAAATACATACAAATTACTACATTAGGTTGACTTAGTAAAAGTAACACATCAGGTGCATCGACCCTTGACATGACTGTGACCGCAGAATGAGAAAGCTACCCACCATTAACACGTCAATAATGGCTTTTATAAATATTACAAGAAGGTTAATGCTCATATGCATATACAAAAAACTGTCTGAGTATAAAGATCAAGATATCACCAACTTTGTCTACCAATAGTATTAATGTAGCCGTGTCCGTGGGATAAATGAGTTTTACTCACCTCCTCTGGGTACTGGGTTCGATCCCCGCCCCCACCAATGAAATTGTTAATTGCAATTTTAAGTGCTGATTTACCACGTGCTTGGCGGTGAAGGCAAACATCGTGAGGAAACCTGCATGTCTGGTAAATATGAAAAAAAAAATTCGAAGACATGGGAAGTTCGCCAACACGCATTGGGGCAGCGCGGCGGACACTTGCTTGCCCTAAAACTCTCTCATAAATGAGGGGAGGCCTGTGCCCAGCAGTGGGACGTATATAGGCTGTAAACTTTAAGTCACCTCCTCCGCCCAAGCCTCCACAAACACTATTACAGCAGAATTTTGTCGCAAAGTGTGGTCAGTTTTGAAGGCATATCATTCATTTATTCTTACATTTAGAATGATAAATATATGCTTAATACGCCACAATATATGTAGCTTAATAACGAGTATGTTTGGTGTTTAAACTTGAGAAAACGATATATCTATTTCCTGTTGCTCTATTTACTTCAGTGAAAGTGCGAAGCGTGAGAATGGCGACAAGAACCACGGATATACCATGGATGTACGAATTCTCATACACTATTTAACTCAGAAAATGTCTGCAGAACTAATTTAATATTTCCATGACGTGTGTGTATATGTGGGCCAGATGAAAAATACCTACGAGTATTCGTATTTCAACTATTACGGAATATCTAATATAGGTAAGAACGTCAACGGGAATTGTCACCTTTTCTCTCCTAGTCCATCAATATTTAAACATACTCGAATATCGACTCTATATTGCAATGACCAAGAATTTAGTTGTGGCGCTGCAGGTTACGGATGCAGGTTTGATTTCGCGCTTAATATGTAATTGAATGGCTCAAAAATTCAGGATCTAAATATATGCCCATGTTAGTGTAAAACAAGTAAAACGACCGAACAAAAAAATAAATATTTATATTCGTTTCTGTTGAGATAAATAAGAAACAAACAAAGATTTTAAATAATGTTATTTTCTTTGACTAGTGTTTATTAAAAATAATATTATATATATATATATATTATGTTGTATCAAACGTTACTCGATGATGGATGTAGGTGGCTCAGGACCGTGTTTTGTGTGACTGGCTGTGATGATGATGATGAGGAAGGTAATTATTTATTAATACATTACAGCCTGTTAAAGTACACAGCTAAACAGTCCTCTTCATAGATTGCCTCTTAAATCATAAACACGATATTTGCCATACTTGCTAAGCTTAGTGCTGGTAATAACGGAACAATATTAAGTACAAAATGATACCCCTTAGTGAAATTCACACAAGTGGAACAGATTCCAAATACAATAGAAAATTAGCCTGAAGTGTACGCGCAAACACTAACACTCGCTCGTCTTTACTTTATAATCATCATAATCACAGTTGAAGTGTGATGGCTGCTTATGTACATAAGCCTCCCCATAAGTTGCTCCAAGTCATTAAAACATGCATTTAAGTCGTAGTGGAGTTTCCCTATACATAGATTACCATGCATACGTTGCTGGCACTCGAGAACTTTCAATTACCTTTATGTTTTTTAAGCTATTGCATAGCTTCTATCGCGGGCCTTGAGCGCGGGGACCGAATCCAGAAATTCCGTGACGAAAAAAAACCTCACGCTCCCCACTCCGACGGGCACGGAGGTGTGGCGTTGAAAGCCGTGCATCGTCTAACTCGTTTCAGTTCGGCAGACTTCGGCACTCGGCAGAGTTCGGCACGGTGTTTGTGTGCGTGCGACTAGACGTATGCGTGTACACTAGCTGCTAACTCAATGATAAAAATTCCTAAATAACCTACATGTATTGTAAGATATTAAAAATATTTTAAACAATATTAACTTCTCATTTATTCAATAAGAGAAAAAAAATTGTTTTCTTATCGGTCACCACGCTCAAAAAGTGTAACTTGATTTAATATCAAAGACTTAACTGCATAAATAAAATAAATAAATAATTATAATTGCATAAGTTGATAAAAAATGCTATGAAATAGCTTTACCGCGGCAGTCACCGAGTGCCACACGTATTTTTTTTATAATATTTATTTCGTTTCTCTGTTAGCGTAGACACATCAGAAAAAGTTTGCAAACAGTTTGAAAAATCGAAATCTTTTTTGTAACAATAGACTATATTATAATTTCCTCTCCCTTTTATATTCTTTATTTTAAAATATAGAACTAGAATATAAAACAAATCAATTATTTTTCCATATAAATAGAAATCAACCCAAAAATAACTCGGTCTTAACTAAAAATTAAGAATATGAAAAAAAAAGAGGAATATCAGAAGTTTTACGAGCAGGAATTGTAATTTTGAGGGAAGAAGGATATTCCACGAGAGAAACAGCACGCAGAGTGCTGTATCCCAAACCTGTTTTGTGGCCATGTTGCAGAGGTACCACGGCACGAATAATTTAGCTGACCGACACCGCAGTGGTCTCCCAACTGTTCTCATTGCTCCTCAGAAGCTCTATATCAGATTGCTGGCAGCCCTTGACCTAACCAATCAACGTCACTACAATAAAAGCATTAAGCTACTATTTTACACTGGTATCCTGTTCGAGCGCGGTCCTTCTCGTTCGAGCCGACCCATTCGTGCAGCAGCTGTAATAGGGTGCAAGGTGATAAGGTCGAAAATAGTCTTAGATGCAGTGTCAGAAAAGATAGGGCAATCTAAAATAATTGAAAACCTTAACTGAAATATTGGTATAGGTTAGGATTTAAACCACGACACTTAAGCCGCTCTGAACAGGCGGCACAAGGATATTAAAGAAATTTCTTACCGGTATGTGGCGAGGAATACGTTGACATAGGTGGATTCAAGTTCGCCGTCATCAGTGGCGAGTGCCTCCACCAGTCTCTCGACAGTGCCAGCTTTGACGAACCGGACGCGGACCGTCTCCCACTCCAGATGCGAGATTTCGTCATCTGACTCCTGAAAGCGGCAGGCAGAACTTTTAATTTTCAAGGATACGTGATGTTGTATTATGCAATGAATTTCATTTAATATATTTTTTTAATGAAACAGATAGCTTTGTCTCTCTATATTGGTTCAGTAAATAGTTCTTCGAGCTATATGGCCGACAAATCGCCAATTCAGCTTACTAATCCATTAGGCTATGTCGGTTACTCTCGGCTTACTGCGAATATCCTTATTTTTAAGTCTATCACGCAGAGAAACCCCAAGCATAGCTCTTGTCATAGCTCGCTGAGCGACCATAAGCTTCCTCATATGGCCATCAGTGAAGGACCACGTCTCAGATCCATAGGTCATAACTGACAACACACACTGGTTAAACAATCTTGTTTTGAGGTTTTAAGGCATGCCTGACGAAAAGATGTGTCGGAATCTCCCGAACGCTGTCCAGCTGAGTTGAATCCGGTCGTTTGACCTCTCGGTCGAAGATGGACTTGCCAGTCGGACTATTTGTCACATATTTTAGATTTAGATTTTAGTCATTACATTTTAAAGTAAGAAGTTATTATACCTACTGCTGGACATAAACCTCCTCACAATCTTGACAATATTTTTAGAGCCGGAGAGTGTCCTAGGTTAATGCACGTTGGCGTTCTTCACATGCCGTCGATTTCTCAGACATACAGTTTTCCTCACGACATTTTTTTTGTTAAACAGAAAGGACAAACGACCTTACAGTGCAGTCCACCTGATGGTTAGTGGCTACCGCATCAATGGACACCTGCAGCCAACATCAGATGGAATGCCATACAGCCTGAAATTATACCGGCTGTCTATGCTCTTCAGACGGGCACACAGCAGTACACGCGTTGCGAGTTGGCAGAAGAAACATGTAAGTGATTGGTAACCTAGCCAGACAGAGTAATAAGAAGAAAAGAGTCCAACTACCAATTGAATATTTTCTTTCATCGCCGAACACTTGATATGTGTATGTAGGAATCGAACTCGGTTTACTTGGTTCAAAAATTAAATATCAAAATGTTAATTACATATAACATAGTACTAATAGTTTATTTGCAAGTTTTGTTAATCTATCCATAACTAAATTATAGAAGATTAGAGAGAGCATTTTTATAGGAGAAGGGTGACAAACGAGCACACGGTACACCTGATGGTAAGTGGTTGCCGTGGCCCATAGACACCTACTGAGAATTTCTTGACTCAATAATTGATTTTAAAAATCAATTTCTTGAACAATAATTGATTTTGTTGGCCCAACCCGGGATTCGAACCCAGGACCTCATGATCAGCAGTCGCACTACTACAACCACTAGACCAACGAGGCAGTCATACTACTATTAATATAGCTGCAGTATGGCTCTATTACGTAAAAGTAAGTCATGTCAGTAATATAGAAGTAACTATCAAAACATGAATAACAATTATAAAAATTTTGTCTGTCTGTCTGTCCAGGCTAATCTTCGGAATGGCAGAACCTATTGTAATGCAACATCATGAGATTCATGAGCAGGTAGCGAGCAACGCCGCGAGTGATCTAGGCCATATTTTATCCGAAAAACTTTTAATATGCGGAGGAAATAGCGTTGGTGATAGCACACAGCTTGTAATCAGAGCATGCACCGTCTACTAAGACGTTGATGCTCAGATCAGCAAGGACACTGGTAATCCAATTGCACAATTTCTTGGGAAGCTCAGCTTGGGAGTGGAAGGGAGCTTCGAAAGGAGCGCTTTGTGCTTAACCCAATTGAAGACCTTAGCTATGTCCAAACTAACGACTAATCTAAAGGTAGACCAGAAGGTCACCATTTAATCGACCGCGACGGAAACCGAATTGGCGGTCACTAATCAGCTGGTGATCTTCAAGGTACTTCAAGAGCTGGCAGTTTATAATGGATTCCATTATTTTGGAGAACAAGAAGGGAGAGCTGTGTAAACCACCCAGCCGGCATGAAGCACTCACACCGCGGGATGGTTGGTGGTGTGTTCCCTCCGTCATCGAGAGTCGAGTTAGATGTTAAGAAATGGCTGACAGAAGTTCCCTTGAACAGCCTTAGCAAGAGATCCAGAATGCACGGGATCCCGAAAGAAGGCCAACTAGCTTCTCGCCTATTCTGCCGACGTATTCTGACCTTGCCTTAGCAATGACTCCTTTGATGGACCTGGAGGCGGAATTATACCTCTTCTTAAAGATGCTGGTGTTTACATCCTGAGACGTTGATGCGTCAGCCCATGTCCGAGCTGGGTAGCACTCCTGGTTATAGCGTGATGCTATTTTATAGGAGTAAACAAACCAAGGCTGGGATCTGCTTCCGATGGGAATCACAGAAGACGGAATAAAAAGTTCCATACCTTGAAGTACCACATCAGCGACAGAATCAGCAACAACGCTGCGATCGTCCAGCGACAAGCAAGCCCAAGGGTAGGATGTAAAAAAAGACGCAATCGGCCGACCTATAGTGCCAAACACGGCGGCAGCCTGCAGAATGCAACCGCGATGTTAGAGTGAGTGGCACCACACTCTGGACTAGACAATGGTCCGAGGAGCCAAGAGGTGCGTCGACGGGAAGCTGATATCTGTCCTGATGAGCCGTCAGCAGAAGGTCCAACAGGGAAGGTGCATGATCCTTTACATCTGGAGTCCGCGTAGGCGAAGTAACCAGCTGTGTAACACCATATGCCAAAGATAAGTTATAAACAGATCTCTCCGAATGATCGGTTAAACGTGAACCGAGTCATTTGGCGTGGTGGGTGTTAAAATTGCCTAGGGTCACGATCTCTGCGGATGGGATCTGCTGTAACAAGGAATCTGTAGCTATTTGGACGTGCTCGATAAGTCGCTGTGTTTCGACATTACCGCCCCATTAATAGATCCTATCGAGACACCCGTAGACGCGTGGATGGTCGTCGCTGTCTACGCGTAGCCAAAGGATGGATAGATCCAAACCTTCAAGACTGTCGAGGGGTCAAGAATAGACGTCCTCGCGAATGTATATGCAAACTCCAGTCCGAGGCATAAAGGAGTGTTCAAATTAGTACCTCGGGTAAGAGAGATACGAAGTATCAGCCTGAGAGGACACCTGCGTGTCGGTCAGAAAGAGCGAGGCCGACTTAGACGGCTCTAGATGGTAATGGACGGCATTTCAGTTCGAATGAAGTTCTATGACGTTGCAGAAATTCACGGATAGCGTGGCAGGAGTTGCCTTGCTCTTGTTGCTCAGTTTGCCCCGAGCGGTTTTTATGTTGAGCGGAAATCCCCCCCCCCCCCAGAACATGCGGAGTATCCTGAGCACCCACACTCAGGAAGAGTGGAGTAGCTTGGTCGTGGACGCTCAGCGAGATGTTCTCCTTTATCAGGGGTGCTGGTCAGGCGGGTCCTTGGTAGTATTTCATTTAATTCCGCTACAATGTTGATGGGGAGCGGGGGGCGGATTTGGCCCCCAGCCACCTGCACTCACAAGAGCTGCCGCATGGCTCTAATACTTTTAAATTTGAATAGTTGCCATGATTGGCAAACGGTTTGGCAACCATAGCTTTTTATTATTTTCTATTGTTATCTGGAAAATGTTGCTGCCCATATCTTGTTTCAAATTTCCTTTCCACATGGCATGATAGTTCATAGTGAATAATCTTACAAATACAATGCATTTTAAAGAATATAAATAATAAATTGAAATAAACTTTTAAATTTATAGCAATCTACTAAAATTTTGCAAGTAACAATCTAAAAAGTGTGAAAGATTAACCTTTAAAGTTTGTTAGCAGTTCAAAGGAAGTCCCACTTTGTTATTGTTACGTAAAATATTGATTTTATTGGAACTAGGTCGTGGCCAATGCAGTTCAACTACTACTTTCCAAATTATCAATCGAATGAACGTTACTAGTTTTCATAATATAAAACTAAGGTTAAACATAAATCGCAGAAACGTTGAAAAGGCTTGTAGCAGTCAATAAAACTTGACTAACGGAATTTAAGTACGAGATCTCTTGAAGCTTGTTAACGGGGCAAGCTTGTGAGTAAATCAATGAAATAATTATTTTTTTCCTATTTATTTACTTATTAACAAAGTTGTGTCGGTAAAGATCAAAGTTTAGTTGCTCGCTTACTAATAAATTTTAAGAGCCTGAGCCTGCTTCTGCTCGCCGTGTAGTGGCAGCGTAAAATGATTCACTACACCATATCATCTCGTATATAGAACACTATAAAACACAATAGAATGGCTGTCAACCTTACTTTGTAAGAGGATTGGCGTCGCCGGGAGCACACATACAAGCAATTACGTCCTATTATCAGTTATCACTACTACAAACACATTTTAGACTTTTGATTCACGTTTTTGACACATATATGTTTCTTTATTTTTATTTCTAATATTCACAAAATATAAATAGTTTCGACTTACTGGTTGTAGAATATGTCTCCTTTATTTTAAATCCATTTCCCGCTGTTCTTTCGACACGTAATTATGGCACAATTTGCCATTTTTTAAATAATTTGCATGCAGCGACGCTTGACACGAAAATTGGAAACGATTGATTGTGTTGACATTTATACGTGTGAATTGACGTGTTAGTGACATGTTAGTGGCTACACGGGCTCCGCCCACTCCCCCGTTCTATTATGTATGTATTATAGTATTCTATGATTTCGTAGGTGACGTAAGAGGCGACATCGAGAACGAAAATAGAAGATCCAGACTCCAACATCTGCCTAATAACAACTTTTTATAAAACCGCTGTTACCAACCACAGCCAAGCGTGAGAACTACGGCGTTCAGTGCAGTTTAACAGGCTTAATGAATTAAGAATGCTCCTGAGCCTCCACTTCTACGTCAAGAAGATACAAAATCAAATGAAATCAAGCATGTGTCTAGTAATAACAGAATAGATTACTTACACTTGAAGCACTCCGAGTGGGTCGATGATAGCGAACTTTCTTCAAATACACGGTGTAAATGGCGCCGTCCACCCGCTCTTCGCCCCACAACCGCCATGTCGGCTGCTGGAACACATCGTAAGTTGCTCAACACATGTCACGTAGAAGTAATTTAAATGATAATAACTACAAGGCAGATTAGCGATCTCATTTACACATCACGCACTTTTTAAGGTGCTTCTCTTCACCATTCTGAATATTTTAAATACGACATATTAAACAACAGTACCTGAGCCAAAGAGCCTTGGTCGGTGTTAAAAAAAATATCTCATCGTTGTCTCACATACTACGCTATGTTTCGTATGCTGAATGTGAGAACCGGAAACCCTTATAAATAACAAAGCAATTCATGCAAGCGCGGCTTGATTTAAAGTTACGTTATCATATCTATATCTATATAAAAATTACATATATTAGGTATACGCAGTTTAGATAAAATAAATTCAAAGTAATAATTTTAAGCAGACATATTTTCGAATTATAATCAAATACACTTTACATCTGTCTGGCAAAATGCTTTACAGAGAGTATTTCCCATATATAAAATGGGAAAATATTCTTTCGTTAAAAAAGGGTAATAATAAAAAGTCATGTCAACAGTGTCATGAACAATCCATAAATATGTGTTTTATTTTTAAAATCATAATTAAGGAAGTCCCACTCTGCGGGAAGATATAAATGGTCACGTTAGATCTTTGAGTATTAAACCAATGAATACTCAAAGCGTTAGATATGTCTATGGGCCAGTCCGCTTTACCATCTGGTGGAATGTGTGCTCGTTTGGCAACCTAAATTCTATAAATAATATTATGGAATTTTAAATAAAGCGCCAGCTGGCTTACATTTCCTGAAATAAATATAATTTATACTGCGATAGTTACAGTCTTAATCGGTAACTTATTTTTAATATTATCCTATCTGATTTCGATCATAGCGTGCTTCATTGGATGTATTTTTTTGCGCCTGAAGCAAATAAGGGCTCCCCACCGCTAAACGTTGGACTATGAGACAGGGAATAGAGAGTACGGTGGCTGTACGTGCGCACACACACGTGCGCTATAATCCCTTCCCGCGCAGATAGCTAGTTCTCATTGAGACTGGCCCCCGTAAACAAAATTCTGTCTGGAGCACTCCACTCGTCTCTCGAAAAAGGGCTTGTCATTCGCAGTTTTTATACATAAATAAATCATCAAAATGAGTAAAACCAATAGAAAGTCGAAAAGGTATATTATAAAGAAATAATATTAAGTATAAAATATTAATGAAAACCTTGAAAATACATTCGATTTTTATACAAAACTACAATTATTTGAAGTCTCTCGCAAAGAAATATAATAATTGGCGCGCGGTGGTGGCGTAAGGGAAACGATTACGTTATTTGATCACCAGAAATGGAGTAATCGATTTCACGTAACTCATAGTCGTAAAATTCGACTATGGGATATACCAGAACGACCTTACGACCTTTCTAGAGCAAACGAGATAATTATACATGGCGGTTTAATCATCTCGTTTGCGCCAGACGTAAAATAGCACAAGTAGTGATTTTTTACGGACTGATGTTCATGATGAATAATATGATTAAAAAAATACTATTATAAATATCACTGCGGTATCTTTAACTACGGTTTAAACAACTACTAACCATTGGTTTATATATCATCCACTAACAATGTGAAAAACAAGTAGAACTATTGCATTGAAAATGATACCGGGAATACAACAGCATGAAGACATAAACCCTATAATATATATATATATATATATATATATATATATATTCTCTATGCCTGATATACTCAGTCACATTTTACATGTGTTCATAGAACTGCTACTTATATAACAAACATACTTAAAACAATTATCTAGTACCTACTAATCCAATCCAATGATAATACAGAATCAAAAATAATTAAGCATACCAGCATGTCAGAAAATCTGAAAAAGATTATATTTTAATTAAACAAACAATAATACATATTATGTACGTCTGCAGACCCTTTCAGAATATTGCGACGAGTATATAAATCACGGCTACGAATATAATCAAACTGATGGTCGCCCCAGAAAACTAAAATCAAATGCATGCATTCATACTCCTTCTCTTTTCCTTTAAACCATAACGACGAACTGGCCAACAGAAAGCAGTAATATGCTTCTATCTCAGAAATTAATAAGAAATTTACGTACGATCACTACGGAAATATTGTATAATTCATAAATAAAAAAATAACTTTTACTAGATTGCTATGTTCAAATCTGTTATTATTGAGCCAAGCAAATACTTGGGAATATTAAAAATCGTATAATTTTATCATAAAAGAAATGTAAATAAATGTAAATTAGAGACGTTCTATATCAAAGATAGGTAACCACGCTTACATAATCATCGTTAATTGCAGCAGCGAACAGTACGGGCTCGGCCTTACTGTTGCCGCATATCTTCCACATGGCCACTGGTCCATGTTGCGCGATCACGTCAGCCCAGCTGAGCGTCCCGCATCACAAACACTTTCACTGCAGCATTGCTCTGTGCGAGCACTGTATCTTACAAATACAGCTGTATTCGGCTCAATCGAGATCTACGCAGGCGAGTATGCGACGCGAACGTGCGTGACGCCGGTGAAATCGTCGCCGCGACACACTTGTAAATGAAGGTATCCGGCAAGGCTTGTCCTAACGGTTACGTGATTTCGACACCAATTCATTCATACAATAACACTTACTACGAGATTTTTTTGCATTTTCCATACTACGGTCCAACATCGGAAAACAATGCTCTAATAATATTTTCACTTCCGGTCGAAACTGAAATCGTGCTTTGAATTTCCAATCTACGTTATATGTACGCAACACACTTTTTTGACTACACACCCGACATTTGAAACAAATCTAAAAATATAATATTCGCCTAATACAATCTATTGTACACTCGGAATACATCTAATATAAGAAAATAGACGCGAAGACAACGGCGCGGACGCAATACGACTGCTCTCTCGCGGAGAGATCGCGTGGAAAACCGTGAGCACGTCAACGAAGCTGTAACGTAGGTACTTCAGAATCACAAGAACACAGACTGATCGGTGTATTCTTGTATGATGCTCATAAAATACACACGTTCAATTCACAGTTTATTAAATATTTTAATCGTAGCATAAACGACTACTGCTGATTTCGTATCAACTTGGGTAAATACAAAAAAATAAGAATTTTAAAATACACCAGCAACGACAAAACAATTATACGTCAATAGATTTCTGCAAGGTTTGATTAACAGAATCAGAAACTTTTTTATTCGACATAGATTATAAATGATACTTATTGAAAGTCACTTTTTTAATTTACCACTGGTTCGGAAGAAAAAAACTCGGTCCTGGGGAGAACCAGCAAGAAACCCAGCGGGACTATTTTTTGTTAAAATAACAGCTTACAATAATGTATGTTACAATTAACAACACAAAACAAGTTAGAAATAGCTTAGTAGCGATCACCCTTCTCAGGGGTTATTTTCATCCATAAATTTCTTAATATTATAATAACCCTTTGTATACAAATTTAGTTTATAAATTTACTTAGTGGGTCAAACGCCAAACTTACTAACATCTCCTTTATACTATATATACTAATTTATTATTATAAATTATTATTGTATACAAATTTAGTTTAATAAAGTTTTTGAACTTTATGTGGGTCAAATTTTGTACATTTTCTGGGATTTTGTTGTAAAAGCGTATACATCGCCCCAAGAATGAATTACTTACTCGGTAGAGTCGAGTAACTGGTACTTGTGTAGCTCGTGTCTGTTCATAGTATTTACAGAACGAATATCACTTATTTTTGTAAAGCTACTTTTATTTTTGTGTACGTAGATTACATTTTCATAAATGTATTGAGAGGCCAAAGTTAATATTTTAATTTCTTTAAACTTTTGTCTGAGCGACTCTACAGGTTTTAAATCATATATTGCTCTAATTGACCGTTTCTGTAAAACAAATATAATTTCAGTATCAGTCGCGTGTGCCCATAGCAAAATAACATACGACATTATGCTATGCAGATGTATTGACAGTGAATCATAATAAATTCTTCGTACCCGCTCGCTTATTGATTATGTCCATGTATAAACAACAATATCGAACATGGCTAAAGTATTCAACACAAGAAAAAAACATTTTTTTGTTGTAAAACAAATGAAGATGAGTGATAGTTAAAACACGTTTTGCAGCTATTCGTACAATGAGTACATTTTATAAATATGTGATATTTATTTTCTTTAAGAATTAAATATTTTTCAAGAGATATTACGTAACTATTGTTGTAAGATAAGTTAATATATATTAGTGTCTTAGAATTTAGCAAAAGTATTAGTGTCCTAACATTTGTTGATGAACGAAATAAATAAATAGTAGGTATTTCTTATGTAGATACCACTGATCTTCTTTCATCTTTCATTGCTTCAAATATTTTTGGCTAAGATTTTTCAAGTAAAAGTATGTACCGTATAAAATTTTGCTCAATTTTCAGAAAAACCTGTCGAAATTTCAAAGCACTCTCTTATAAACTTTAAAAAATTTTACAACGTTTTGTCAATTCTCTAACAGATTAGTATTTTTAAAATGAGTTTCAAGTATCGATTTCGTCTTTTATCATCAAATGAACCTTTTTAAATACACTATTGGGTGGAAATAAGCCTTTCCAAAAATATAACACATAGCATTCATGTCATTGACACACCAGTACAGTTTATCAGTGTTTGGATTAGAAAGAGTAATCCTTACACTGATAAACTTGATTCCATCATCACACGACAACATTTATTTTAGCATTGAATGGATTTTCGTTTCATTATAAAATATGAAAAATTCAAAACATTTCTAAATAAATTTGTATAAAATAAATAATATTAAATGTATAAACGTCCTGTACCGTATTAGTGGCGGCTTAAGAGTATTCACTACCCATATCATAAATATAATATTCAAACATAGAATATTCACTACCCATAACATAATAAAACAGAAGACGGGCAGCATGTCATTTATACGTGGTAGAGCCCTGCTGCAGCTATACCAGGGTGGTCTAAAAAGTTTCCGATTTTAACGTGAAAATGGCAGGACTCGTCAATAAAAGCTAGTGAATGTAGTTGTGCATCTTTTGACAGTTACGCACCAAAATATCAGCCATTTTGGTCGCGAAGTTGTTATTTGACCGTCGTTTGAGTGAGTCGATGTGTTTTTTTTTGTAAAAATGGAAAACATTGAGTATCAAGCTGTCATTAAATTTTTATTTTTGAAAGGCAACACGCCTACGCAAATCAAAGCCGAGTTGGACTCTGTGTATAGGGACTCTGTACCATCACTTACCACAGTGAATTTTTGGGCAGCTAAATTTAAACATGGCCGTGAAAGCTTGGGAGACGATAAACGTTGGAAACGTCTAAAAACTGAAACTACTGACGATAAAATCGCTAAAGTTAACCTAATGAGTTTGCCACATATTAAACCAAGATTTAGGCATGACAAAGCTGTCAGCGCATTAGATGCCGCGTTTGCTCACGTTAGACTAAAACGTGTTTGAATTAACATTTCCAACGCTCCAACTAAAATTTAGTCGAAACTGTGGACTGCAAAGGGGGAACCGGCTCCATAAAATCAATAACTAGGAAAGTGATATTGACTGTTTTTTTGGGATAGTCATGGAGTTATCTTAATCGATTATATTCAAAAAGGAAAATCCATTACAGAAGCATACTACGCATCATTACTTGACAAACTAAAGGCAGAAATTGCGGAAAAACGGCCACATTTGCAGAAAAATAAAATCCTGTTTCACCATGACAACGCGCCGTCTCACACCTCAGCGGTTACCATGGCGAAAATCCACGAATTACGGTTTGAACTGCTTGACCATCCATTTTACTCACCAGATCTAGCACCAAGAGACTTCTTTTTGATCCCATTTTGTAAAAATTGCGCATGGAGGACAGAGATTTTCGTCAAATGCCGAGTACTATTTGGACGGGTTAGAAAGATGGGAGCATCGCTGGGATATGTCTGAGACTATGAAGAAAAATAAAAATAAATTTTAGGAACAAATATTTTGTATCCTTGTTAGCTCGTAAACTTTGTGGACCACACACGAATGCGTCGGCTCAACACTCAACAGGTGTATCACCACGCTCTCACATATTACCAGCGTGAAATAGGAGCTTAATGTTTCGATTGGTGAGTGTTGAGAACCGGAGAACCTTTTTACTGGAAACGAAACATTTCATATAAGTCTCAGGGGTGAGAACGTATCTGCATTTTGATTCTTAATTGAGGATAAATGTAAATGTCTATGGTCCACAACATCCACTAACCATCAGGTGGACTAATTTTATATTGTAACCCTTATCCTATAGTGTAGAAGTGCAGAGTAGCCAACATCTCGGTGTTACAGGATACTTTACGGAGCGTGCACAGGATGATTTTAGACCTCCCTCACCTTCCCACCATCGGACGGTCAGCGGTTTCCACCTCCTGGTTGTCGATGTGTGGGGTATTCGAACCAGACACTTTTTTTACTCTTTTACAGTCATCATTCATCATTATCATTACAACCCTTCACAAATTGAACATAGGCCTCCCCCAAGGAATGCCACAAAGCACAATCCTGAGCCACCTGCATCCATCGACTTCCTGCATGTCTTACTAGGTCGTCACTCCATCTAGTGGGGGGATGCCTTACACTTCGCCAGCCGGTACGAGGCTGCCACTCGAGAACCTTTTTTCCCTATCGGTTATCGGTTCTTCGAGCCATATGGCCGGCCCATTGCCACTTCAGCTCACTAATCCGTTGGGCTATGTCGGTTACTCTGGTTCTACTGCGGATAACCTCATTCCTAAGTTTATCACGCAGAGAAACTCCGAACATAGCCCTCTCCATAGCTCGCTGAGCGACTTTGAGATTCCTCATACGGCCAGCAGTGAAGGACCACGTCTCAGATTCAGCCATTAATGACTCTTTTACAGTAAAGGAGTGGAATAGTTTACCGGCGTCAGTATCGGTCAGGTAAAAATAAATGGAGTAAATATTGTATGGTACCTATTTCGATTATTTCTGTCTGTCTGTGTGAACTTATTTGATATACGAGGAGGTTTAATTAGAAGCAAGTGTTTTTGTGCTTGAACGTATATTTTGCCCAATAAATTATTTGGCGTGAGTTGTAACAGAAATCAGAATCGAGTCAAATAGACAAAAAAAACGTTATTAAATATTTTGAAAAGCATAATTTCCTTTTAATTTGACAAGTGAATTTTTTACGCTGAGAATAACCTACATAAAGTAAAAGGTACTTATGATAACATACTTTTAGCCTTGCGTATTCAATTAAAAAATCGGTCAAGTGCAATGTATACTTGCTTTCTCAGTGCACTGTTCCAATTAGTTCTTAGTGTTAAAAACAA